CCTGCAGAGGTACGATGTCGAGGAAACGTGCAATGTTCCCAATCATGTACGAAGGATGCGAAGGAAATAAAGGGAACATAAATTGCGTCAAGGAACTTGAAGAAGCACGTCGTATCCCTTATGTCCCGCTGTCGAAGTCAAGACTCTTAATTGCTTTGCTTGATGATGTACATTTTGCTCCATTATCCCTTTTTTTTTTGTTCATCGACACGGAATTAATTAGAAAGAAAGTAGCCACAGATATATTTGACATCTTCTTCTCAATTTGTTGCAGGATCTGCAGAAGGATATCACGCGATCTGTTCGCCACAAATTAAGGAACGATGAGATGAATAAACGGAAGCCAGCCTTGATGGAGAACTTTCTGTCAGAATTGGAGTCTTCGGATACCTATTGAACGAAAATGATCAGGAAATAAAAATCTTCTCGGCTCGCGCAAGCATTTCTCATCATTCCGAATTTCAGAAATGTGCATTTATTCTTCTCTCTCTCTCTCTCTCTCTCTCTCTCTTTCTCTCTCTCTACTATATACGCAAAATAAAATCTCCTTTCCTTCACTATTTACTTACTTTTGTTTCAGAGATATTTTTGCTTTACTGTCCCCCCTTCTTATTTATTCCGGTCTTTTCTCTTCAAGTAACCTAACCACTTTGCTTCTTCATTACCTTTGAATTAATTACAATTAATATTAAACCATTGTATCCACGTTACTAACAATACACACGTGCTGCAGCATAAGAAAATATATTTGAAATTCGAAGCAACTCCTTAGATGATCCTACTAAAACAGAGTAAACGAAATTGGAAATATCATTTTACATTTTATCACGATATATAGCTTATTATATATAACTTTTATCTAAATATTAAAACCTTGTATATAAATACATTAAAAACAAGTAACAGACTGCTTCTGGAACGTTAAAAGAGAAAATGCATCCTCAACAAGAACACTCATTTCTATCATTAAGAAATTTGATATATTTTAATGTATTTTTTATGTATTTGTAAAGTTTTCAAATGTACTAATATATAGAACTATTGACGTCATAGAACTATAGAGTCATGACACTTTAAATTTTATAAGTACTACAATAAAATTACTATATTTATCTAACTATTTTTGAAATTATATTTAGTAGAGGAATTTAGCAACAAAACAAAGAACTTGTTCCTAGAAAAATAAAGGTAAAATATAATAATACAAACATGGGGTAAAAAATGGACAAATAACGTTATAAAAAAATGATTAAAAAAAAGATTACTAAAAACTTATTAATACTTTTTACACATAAAATCCAGTAATATTATAACTTCTTTTCAAATGAATAACCATAATTTGATACCACGTTCAAAATACACATTGTTTTTACGTATAGCGTATAATTAATTTAAATTAATAACACTGACTGACAATCATTGGTAAAAAGTAAAAACATAAATATATCTATGTACATGTACATGTACGTAATATGTACAACTACTTATTTGCATATGTAACACGCAAAAGGTTTCAAACAAAGTAATTTAATTTCTCTTTTTAGAAAATAAAAATTATATCGTTAGGAGTGCACGATTAATTAAAATCTTTAATCTTACTTATTCTATAAATCGTATTAAAGTAATACATAATTATTTCTTATTTAGCATTTAGTAAATTTACGTACATGTGTATACGACTCTATATTCCTTACCTAATATATGACTCTCAGCTGCTCACCTCATGCACTGTGTATTGTAATTGCCGGCAAATGAAATATTTCTGGCTCACATTTTTAGCTTTGTATAAAAGGTTTTGGTTAAAAGTGTAAAAAATTTAGTAAATTGTGTATCCTTTAATAAAATCCAATGAATGGATGTTATTGCAAGAACGAATTTAAGTGAACTGAAACAATGACTTTAAGGTTATGCAATAAACTAAATTGTATAAGTATGATTAATCATACGTGGGCTTTGAAAATATGTCCAAGATTTATAGAAAAATGTAAATACTTTATTTCGTTCCGCGCATATAAAACGGTTGCAGTTGCTGACATTTTCCAAAATGATTTTACAAAAGATGCTCGTATACCTGAACATAAAATCATTCGTTCGATTCTTCAAGCGTCCACATATTATGATAAGACTATTTTTCCACCTCTTAAAACAACCGCAATAGTTAGTTCCGAGGATATAGATTATTTATATACTATAAATTGGTTTCGCGAATCTCCAGACAATATTATTAGTGCCATTAAAAAGTTGACATACTCTTATTTAAGTGGCACCCATTTAGAAATACAACTTTATGACAGCATTTTAACAGCCTGTATTAAATGCCTTCCAGAATTCCAGGATCAACAAATAAAGATTTTATTGCAATGTTCAATTACGTTACAGGAGATGATAGTAAAAACAATTTGTTATAAAAAATTCATAAAAACATTAAATAAAGAATGTATAAAACGATTTTATGGTTCAAACATTGAGGAAATTTTATTAATAATTGATGCATTTTATCAGCTTGATCCTTCAAATTCTGATTTTTTATGGCGTGCAATGAGAAAATTGACTACAAAAGTATATAAACTTTCTGCAAAATCACTGGTCCAGGTGTTTTTTGTTTTACCTATAGTTAATATAAGTTCTATAAATATGTACGAACTTGAATGTCGTGTACAAGAATGCATCTCTGATCTAACGGCAAATGAATTAGGGATAATAGCAAGAGGTTTTTTTAGAAAAAAAAGGAGACTTTACAATAGATTCTTAATGCCACAGATAATGACTAAGGCTATTAAACAAATTAATATCATAGATGCTACATCTTTGGCATCAATTATGAAACTTATTAGGTAATAAAATAATTTATCACGCATAAATAATTTTTTGTAATAATTATTATTATTATTAGTATATATAAATATGTGCCTTTTTACAGATATAGTAATTGTCAACATTGTTTGAAAGACTTTCAAGACTTACTGTTGTCCTTGCGCGATGAAGTACCAAGGCTATCAATAATATGTTTAATCCATATGACACATACGTTTGGAGCATTACGCATATATGATGAAATTTTAACAAATAAGATTGCTCAAAGGTAAGTTAAGCAGAAAAAAGAAATTATAATATAATATATTCATTAAAATAAGAGAATTATTAATTTAGACTATTAATTTAGACTAGAAAAAGAAATGAAAACTGCAAGAATAAAAGATATTGAAAGAGTTATTTATTGCATATGTACAATTGCTCCCATCACAGATTACTATACAAATGTATGCCACAAATTAATGAATGAAATAATGTTGACTTATAAGACTACCAGAGCAGCTGAAGTTAATAGGTAAATATTTTTTTCCATATTATAATATATATATATATATATATATATATTAATTATGTAAAAATTAACGAATATGTTAAACGTAGATATCCAATATCATTAGTACGTATTCTGATGTTCTTAACAATAAAAAATATATACGTACCAGAATTACTTGAATTCGTATTCGAGCCTAAATTTGTACAAAAAACATACAACAGTAATCTCAAATTATTGACAAATGAATGGTTGATGTTACATTGTTCAGTTAAAATAGATTTGCCTTACTACAAAGGTCCATTGCTCGAAAACAATTTGTATACATATTTAATAAAGGTAAAGTATAACGCAGTGTTTTTTAGCCTGTGGCCCGCAGTCTCTTGGAAAATTCTCACATACACAAATAAATAATTGTAAGAAAGCAGGCTGGGAATTTTATTTAGACTTTTGGAAATGTACGGTGAGGATAGTAATGACGGACGCGAAAAGGTGATGTCAATTGTGACCGGCCAAATAGACTAGCAGCAAGAGAGATTTTCTGTAGTATCGACCTGTAGAATTCTCTTTGTACCTTTCCCGGTCGTGTGATTGGGAAGATAGTTCATTTTCGGCCAACCATTAGGCAAAAGTCAGTAATTTTCTCGATTAAGTAATAGATTAACGGTACTGCCCAGAGATGCGTCCTCACATTGTTTATCGGGCCTGGCTGTAGAACCAAGGCCAGAAGAGAATGCATCTCCTACAGAATAAAATAAAGAATAATAATTTGAAATAATGAATTATTTCACTTAATAGTTATTTCAAATAATATCTCGTTAAATAAAATGATATATCACTTAATTGGCAGATGATATATTTGAAAATATATCTTGGAAGTTGTAACGACAGAAAATTATTTAAAGGAGGTCTGTAGTAACCAAAAGGTTAAGAGACACTGATCAATTAATAATTTGCATTTTACATTAAATAGTTAAATTTATTTAAATCTTTTTACTATTGTAGCAAAACTGTAATCACGAGGCTGAAATCTATAATCAGGATGTCAATGCAAAATTAAGAATGGAAATTGCATTTATCTGCAAGGTATACCAATGAAAGAGAAAATACTCAAAATAATAAAACGTACTTAATATATTAATCTTATTATTTCAGAACAAATTAGGACTAGAATTATATAGCGATTATATTTTACCTCATTACTTAAATAAAGATCTTATTTTTGGTTTGGACGCAGATAACAATTCCGTTGAAATTGGATCTATTTTATCAACAATGCCGCTAGGTTCAATTAAAAATGTAAATAATGATAAATTTAAAAATATAAAATGGAAAGTTTTAGTTCCATTATCTACTTCAGTAAAAATAGCAAATGCTGATTCTTATATTGGATATATTTATAAGAAATGGAGACAATTAAGAATCATAGGATATACACCGATCCCAGTAATTTTCAAAATTATATATTTCTTTTTTATAATAATATATAATTGATATTTAAGAACTCTTGAATAATGTATATATATACTAATGTAATCACAATTTTTATAGATCTGTGAAAATATTTGGGAGTCTATGGATGAAGAAAGTAAAGCGCAACATTTAAGACAATTAATTTACGAAGATATGCAACTTGATTTATTTAAAACCTGATTTTCTTAAAAAAATTTCTTTAAAATTCGTTTTTCCTTAAATACTTTTCAGCCTCCAAAAAGTAATTAGTATTGTACATACAATAATGCTGTTATTAAATTGTCACTATTGTAAAAATTATAATATGTTTTGTAATAAAAAATTTTTTAGTAATTGGTTTTACATATATTTATTACAATCTATTTTATATTCTATAATAATTAAAAAAATATACATTTTTTCTATCAACTATTCTCAAAAAAATCAAGCAGAATTTGTTTAGTATATTCATAAGTTACAAATAATGTAGCTGTTGCTGGCACTGTCCTTATTAACGTTGGTTTTAAACCATTGTACAAGGAATTTATACCTTCATTTCTTACGATATCTTTCATAACTACTAACGCAGGAGTTTTTAAATTTTTAACCTTCAAAAGAAGAATTAATGTGAAACTTGTCTGCATTTTGGAATCATTTAAGTTGAAATAAAACGAACCTGTATCCTACTCTTAATTACATCAGCTGGAAATATTACAAGCCATAAAACACTTCCACCAACAGCACCAGCAACCATAGTTTTTTGCCACCCAATATCATTCCTACTTTCATCTGGCTTTCTTAGAAGTTCTCTGGTTAATTCATATCCTCCAAAAAAAAAGAAATATCCTGGCATTTCACGTGCTATAGTCGACGACAAACCAGTAAATAAACCTCTTATGCCTTGTTCTTTAAGAATTTCACGTGTCAATCCCCATGGTCCAATTTCTTTCTAAAGAAAATGATTTTTTTTAAAACTTAAATTTCTATGAATTTCATATACTGTTTTTTTTTTTTTTTTTGTGACTACCTTGACTACAGTTAATGATGATTTAGTTTCCATTTGAACTTCTCTTATTGCTTGCAGTTTACATTTTATAAGCTCTGTGGGGCATAACGTTAATGAGGAAAAAAATGCAGCAAAAAATCCAGCACAGGCATTTTGCATTGATGTCAAATTTTCTACTTTCTTAATATCTATATAAATAAGATTTTCTTATTAATTGAAAACCGTAGTTTACTCGTACCATATCTTAAAAGAATTATATTACCCAAAATATTAGAAATAACTTTCTGACATCCACCATATGCAGCAAATAATACTGAATTCTCAGCAACATTAGCAACTAATGCGGGTACAGTTCCTGCATATAAGCCGCGCATTATTCCATCTGTTCTTAGTGTTTGTAAAAAGCAATTTACCATTCCCTTATACATAGAAGGAAAGGTTTGCATTTTTACCTTAACTGTATCTAACGGTTGTCCAACGTATACAAGTGCTATTCCACCTTAAATCAAATGGAACGTAACGACATGAAGTAGAAAAAATAATTTATTTCTTGTAACAAGTAAACAATTTTTTACTAATCCCTTAATTTCTTTGTTGTTAACGATCAAGATGTTAATTAATACTAACAGCAGAATTACTTTCCAAAAAAAAAAAAAATATAGACTCATAATGTGAAATAAATTATACGAATTACTATGAAGACTATGGATATTTGAAATTTTACTTATCTTGCAAATTGTTTATTTATCTCTTATGAATTATTAAAATTGATTGATAAAAGTAATAACGTATCTAGAATATATCATGTTACCAAGTGATCCAGAAACAAAGTCAATCAAACCAGCTCTAATATTATTTAATTGTTGATTTTCTTTTTCACCGAAATCAAATGCCATTTTTCTCTATATCTAAATTAATAAATTTCAAATTGCAACGATTATTGATACGACAGGTTAACACGTGGTATTCCTTTATCGCCCTTGCTACTATTTGAGTGTTTATCTGCTATCGAGTGGAAACGATAAGGAAAGTTTGTTTGTCGATTAGAAATTAGTAATGCGATTTGTATCTTTTAACTTTTTTATTTACACAACACATTCGCATCTCTTATTTTACAAGTTTCTTACTTTCTGAACGAACGCGCACGCGCATTTACACATCTATACAAAATTCATAAAGAAATTATTCATTGATCGGTAACAAAGAAATAATCGAAGTATCGTACAATATAATACATTTTCACGTCTCATGTATTTCTGTGCACAGTTCGTTCCCTTTCGATTAAACTCTAGTAAAATTTTTTTGACTACGTGGAATTCATCTTGCAGCGACACTGCACTTTTTTACGTTGCTTATTTCAATATTCTCTAATTGTACGCTAATTTGCAACGACACGAATAATAGCATATAACCTAAAATAATAGGATAACAGGATATAACCTAAAATCTATTACTTTATAAAAGTATTCGAATACAATTGCAATTAAAACGAGATGATCACAGCTTTGTAAAAATACGATTGGACGATGTATGCACGAAAAAAAAAAGTTGCAATATCCTAAAAACTACAATTTCCAACGAGGCAACTTTGTTACTTATTCTTACTAGGAAATGCTAGATATCGATATTGGTTGTCATAGAAACACAGTGCTACAGCTTTTAAATTCTACATTACTAAAATAATCACTTTATCACTTCAAATACAGATTGATTTAAAAAGAATGGATTGGAGTTTGCTTCATCGTGTTATATGTATCGCCTTGCTTCCTCGATCGCAGTGAAACGACAAAATATTATATAATTTCAGGCAAATTATTCACGAATGTTCAAAATAGAGTCCAAGCCGAGTTATTTTACTGAAATTTGCGTAGTTTAGTAAATCAAGAAAGTTACTAGATCGTTGTATTCGAGATATACATGTATGACGTACGCGACAGTCTGTAGTTCCAAAACATGGGTTTTCTCGATTATATTTTCAATTAAACGATCATTGTTTTTTGGTTCATTTTAACAAGGGAAGTGTTGGTTTTCATCCATGTTGTGAACGAATCGCGGAATTCAGCACGATGACGGCCCTCCTCGCATTACGAAAATAGGAAAAGTGTATATGGTATAGTAGATCTGCCATGATAGATCCGAACGCGTCTTCGTCTTATACTAAAAAAGTCAGGGATTGTTAGCAAAATGTGTGATTTTTGTTGTCAGGAGAGCTTCTTAAAGGTGAGCATACTGTCTGACGAGAATCCAATAATTTTGACCGTTCTCTAGTGGCATGATAAAACGGTAAATTCTCTTATTAAATTGGAGCGCAGCGTGCCTCTAGGAGCGCTCTGGCTCGTCTGCGCCATTAGCGTTCAGAGCATGATCGCCAGATATTTCCATTATATTATCAAAATAGCATATTATCATGAGAAACTGCTCCTTTGGACTCGTATTACATATAGTCTTTCGTTATTTGACCTTCTTCCAGCTCGAAAGGAAAACGAAATAACCGATTGACAATTGACGGTAATTCAAAATTTTTCGTAGTGTACATCCTTTTGGAAAGAATATATATATATATATATATATATATTTTTTTTTAATTATATTTCTCACACCCCGTTTAATTGATAATCAATTTAATTTGTATTCGGAACTGACGCGCATCTGCTGTAAGAGTATATTTCTCTTTATTATATTTCGTATATTTCTTTTTTTATTTCGTTGCATGTCATTTAAGAAACACTCTCAACACTTTCTGTATCTGTACTACTTCCTCTGTACTAGGAATATCGTATAAAAATTGTCAATTTTGTTATTTTTAACACGAGACTGATTTTGGGAAATCATTATTTACTTTTTTATTGTTGCGAAGAATTTAAGGATACCTGCTGGTTGATGTTACAAAACGATAAATAAGTGTAAATTACAAAAAGGTTTGCAAGAAATCATTGTCATTTTGTGCAACAATATTCTCAAAATATGTATCTATGTATTTAAGTAACGAAACAATCCTTTCATTTAACTATTTGAACTAACCGTCAATTAATTCGTTATTTCTACAGTAAAAGTACAGATTGCAGAATGGTGGTGGATTGCTTGTCCATTCAAGGCTCAGTAGCTATAATACGGAAGCAGGAGCGAAGATTAGGCGGGTTAGTGGCTGCAAAGATGCAACCCAACAATGTTGGTAGTTGCGGCGGTATGACACCCAAAGAACTTTCCGACAATGATGACCTAGCTACTTCTCTCGTGTTAGATCCTTACCTAGGATTTACCACTCATAAAATGAATATCAGGTATTTGCTTATAAGATATTATTTGCACGATATACGATAGAAAAGATTGAGATATATATATACAGCTTATTTAACAACAAAGGTATAGGCCATTAAAAGCAAACAAAGACGAACTTCGTAAAATTATTTGTGAATTTATCCAAACGCAAAATTACGAGAAAGCGTATAAAAAATTAATGGGTGGTGACTGGGGCGCAAGACTTCCTCATACGAAGTGTAAACAACAACAAATAAATTTGGAAAAACACGTGAGTCATACACGGTGTGAATTAAAAATTTCCAATTTCATTTCCAAATCTAATCTCATTTCATTTTTATAGATTTACAGGTATTTAAAGGTTTTTGATAAAGATTCTGGATTTGCAATAGAACCGTGCTACAGGTACAGTCTAGAAGGTCAAAAAGGTGCCAAAATTTGTGCAACTCGCAAGTGGTTAAAACACGATAAAATATCTTGTCTCGTTGGTTGTATCGCAGAACTTAGCGAAAAGGTTTGTTTAATCTCTCACACAAAATACAAAGTAAAATACAAAGTAGTTTTTATTTATCGCACGTCTAAAATGTTATTTTAGGAAGAAGCAGCGTTATTACATCCAGGAAAAAATGATTTTTCTGTTATGTTTAGTTGCCGAAAAAATTGTGCACAATTATGGTTAGGTCCAGCAGCGTACATTAATCACGACTGTAGAGCTAATTGCAAGGTTAATAAATTTACATGGATCATTATTTCATCATTATTTTATATACACGTGTATATATATATATATATATATATAT